CATTACATCTAATGGGAACCTCCTCTTCTTTCTGTCTTTCTTTCTCCTTCTCCTTCATTCTCTTTCTCCTTCTTCCCCTCTCCTTGTGGTCCCTACTGAGACCCACAGCTCAGTAACCAAAACCCACCTACCCCTATTCTCCCCAGTAGTTAGCTGTAGTCTCATTTAACCAATAGCTTTAAATTGGGGAGCGAGGTTTACACAACAAATGTATGTGAGAATTTACTCCTTGGTGGCAACCAGATCTTGGGGTTCAGAATTTAGCATTTTTATACACAGCACCAGACCAACTCTCAACAGAAAATGCCTCCATAAAATACAACTACAGGCAAGCCTATAGGGTATTTTCTTAATTAGTAATTAATGGGAGAGGATCCAGCCCAATGTGGGTTGATGCCATCCCTGGGCTTGTGGTCCTGAATTCTGTAAGGAAACAGGCTAAGCAAGCCACAGAGAGCAAGCCAATAAGAAGCACCCTTCCATGGCCTCTGCATCAGCTCCTGCCTCCAGGTTCATGTTCTATTTGAGTTCTTGCCTTGGCTTCCCTTGATAGACTGTGATTCAGGATATGTAAACCCTTTCTCCCCAAGTTGCTTTTGATCGTGATGGTTCATCACAGCACTAGAAATGTAACTAAGACATTATTGCACCTAAAAAATCCAAAGAACTCTTAAGTATGACTGACGATGTTGTCATAGTTCTCTAGTTCTTAATTGTTCTATGATTATAACTTTTGAGTTGATTATAATTAGTTAGTATGACCTTTATGTATCATTTAAATTATAGATTCCACTCTATTTCCTAATTTTAGTTTATTAATTCATATATATATATATATATATATATATATATATATATATATATATAATGTGACCAGAAGAGGGCATCAGATCCCATTGCAGATGGTTGTGAACCACCATGTGGTTTCTGGGAATTGAACTCAGGACCTTTGGAAGAGCAGTCAATTCTCTTAACCACTGAGCAATCTCTCCAGCCCTTATTAATTCTTTTTTTTTTCCAAAGGGGAGGGGTGTATTCAGGGCAGAGGGCAAAGGTAGGGAGAGAAACGGGAGAAGATGGTGGAGAAAGAGGAGAGAGGAGGGAGAAGTAGAGGCTGGCCATGACCACGTGGAGAGAGGGGGAAGGGAAGGGAGGAAGGGCAAGGAGAAGCTAGAGGCAAGAGAGTAAGAGAGTAAGAGCTTATTAATTCTTAAGTTTAGTTTATTTTCTTTTTTAGTTTATGATCAGAAAATTGGGCCACTTGGTCCTGTCCTGTTTCCTATGGTGTTGATTTTGCTATGTCCTCCTGTTGTGGATTCTTGTGTTTCAGGGCTTTTCTGTTTCCTGTTACTCAGTCCTTGAGTCTAGAGACTTAATCAGATTCAGGTTCATTCTTCCGTTTGGCAAGGCCAGTTCTGTGTCTCTGACAACATAGAATGTTCACTTGTCTCTCTCTCTCTCTCTCTCTCTCTCTCTCTCTCTCTCTCTCTCTCTCTCTCTCTCTCTTTGGTTTTTTGAGACAGGGTTTCTCTGTGTAGTCCTGGCTATCCTGGAACTCACTCTGTAGACCAGGCTGGCCTCAAACTCAGAAATCCACCTGCCCCTGCCTCCCAAGGGCTGGGAGTAAAGGCATGTGCCACCACCGCCCGGCCACTTGTCTCTTTATGATGGGAGTAGTTATAGATTCATTCATCCTAGGACTGGCAAACATAACGCCACATGGAATTCTACCAATGCTTCCTCAATTACTAGTTGGGAAACTCTAACAAAGAGGAATATTGCTCTTACCCAATGGTAGAGTTTACACAGGGAGGCAGGATAATTGATCAATCTTTCCATTCATGGATCGGTTTTCTTTTTTCTTTTTTTTTTTTTTTAAAGATTTATTTATTTATTATATATGAATACACTGTAGCTGTCTTCAGACACACCAGAAGAGGGCATCAGATCTCATTACAGATGGTTGTGAGCCACCATGTGGTTGCTGGGATTTGAACTCAGGACCTCTGGAAGAGCAGTCAGTGCTCTTAACCACTAAGCCATCTCTCCAGCCCCTGGATCGGTTTTCAATGAGCTTGTTCCCCAGCAGCCCCCTACAGAGATCTAGTTTTCAGATTATCATTGCTAATTATTAACTTGTGGACTTATCTGTGGAAAAATATAATTTAAAGACAATATATGAAAATTTATTTCATTATAATAAATAAAAATAGACATGAATAAATATAATCTTCTCTATAACCCTGGATATAGCATTCACAGAAAGAGCTGTTATAAAGATGACAATATTAAACAGAGATTAGTGGCATTTGAGACCAACCTGGGGGAACTAGCAAGCTTATTTCTTTCTTTTACTATTTTTATTTATTTATTTATTTATTTTGTTTTTTGCTTTTTGGATTTTTTCCCTAGACAAGGAATTCTACAAGAACTCCATCTGTAGACCAGACTGGCCTTGAACTCACAGATCTGCCTGCCTCTGTCTCTGAGTGCTGGGATCAAAGGTGCAAGCCCAGCTGCAAGATCCTTTCGGAAGGAAGGAAGGAAGGAAGGAAGGAAGGAAGGAAGGAAGGAAGGAAGGAAGGAAGGAAGGAAGGAGAGGAGAGGTGGGAGGAAGGAGAAGACAGTGATCCATAAATTAATCTATCAGTTTGAAGCAATCATAAAAGTCCTATCAGATGAGCTGACACATGCTTTCAATCCCACACTTGGAAAGCTGAAACAGGAAGACTGAGTTCCAGGCAAGCCTGTGCTACATAGTGCAAATCAAAGGTAATTCCATCACAGAGACACCTCTCTCGTGAAGACTTAATGTGGTTCCTCAATGGGTTAATTGCCTCAAGAGCAGGTTTTCATAAATCAAATTCAGCATCCCTGGCCAGATCCCATGACAGATAGTTGTGAGGCACCATGTGGTTGCTGGGAATTGAACTCAGGACCTCTGGAAGAGCAGTCGGTGCTCTTAACCGCTGAGCCATCTCTCCAGCCCTTGACTTGTTCTCTTGATGCATAATACCACTGGCTCTTCCACATGTCTCTAATTCTTTTCTTCCATAATGCCATGATTTTTCCATAAATAAATACTTTATTTCTTTATTGGGAAAACGGGGAAAATGTGAATCAAATATCTGAGACTATTCAAATCTCACTTGACTAAATGGGAAGTCCATGGGTAATGAGTACACAAGGGTTTTGTCCACACTCTGCATCGTTGTACTATTTTATAGATGTCAAAATTCAACATCTAAATACCAAGTTACTTTACTAAGGGAAAGAAATCCCCTTCTCTGGCTCATACACCCATTCTAAGATTCAGTTCCGTTCACCAGTATAAGCCTCCACTTCTGGACAGTACAATTGCGCGCTCTGGTGGTCATCTTGTGCTCTGTCCCCAAGTTCAGAAAAATAGTACAAGGCAGGGCATGCCTTCAGTGAGAATGTGTCACGTCCCATTCTGTCTCCTTCCCTACTCCCTGGCAGCCATGTTCAAGAAAGAAATTCTCACAGAGGTCTTCTTGTCACGGAGATACCTTAGGTACTGTAATCATCTCCTACTACCCGATAATGTCAGGTACAGAAAGCAAGATTAAATAAATTCCTTAGTCACATTGGACACTAACAGTCTCTCCCCACTCCAAAGTCTGAAGGTGATGTGTGAGAGAGTATCACCTGAATGTGTGAGAATGGCAAAGGGGAACCCAGTTACAAAGGAGCCCTGGGGGGTAGGGGAGCACCATCAACTGAACACTGGAGAGGATGCATGAATATGGCATTAGAAGGTTGGCAGTGTGATCGGCATACACCTCCCCCATGAGGAGGACACTTTTTAGAGCAGTTTGTTCTTAGTGTTACAACCACAAAGGGGTTCTTTTTTGGTTTTTCTTTTTTTTGTTTGTTTGGTTTTGTTGTTGTTGTTGTTGTTGTTTTTGTTTTTCGAGACAGGGTTTCTCTGTGTAGCCCTGGCTGTCCTGGAACTCACTCTGTAGACCAGGCTGGCCTCAAACTGAGAAATCCACCTGCCTCTGCCTCCCAAGTGCTGGGATTAGAGGCATGTGCCACCACTGCCCAGCTGTTGTTTGATTTTTGAGACAGGGTCTGAATGTTAACTCTGGCCGGCCTGGAATGTGAGACAATCCTTCTGCCTCCTCTAGATTTTAATGAATTCTAGTACCTTTTTATTAGTCTATATTTTTTGTTGTTATACCATAAATACTTTCCATACTTTCAGTATTTATCTTTTTAGCCGTAACTTACTTACTTACTTCTTTTCTTTCTTTCTTTCTTTCCTTCTTTCTTACTTTCTTTTTTTCTTTTTTTCTGTATTTCTTTTCTTTCCTATTAATCTTCTGAGTGGTACCAAGGTTTGATCACAGAGAGAAAGAAGTTCTACCTCTGAGTTGTTCCTTGCTCTTACTATAATTTGAAGTACCAAAGTCATGTATATGTCACTTCCCAAGTCTGTTAAACTGTCTCTAATTTTTCATTGCCAACAAATAAAATAAATACATTTTTATAAAAGTTGACTTCTTCTTTTGGATTGTTTCCATCTGATAAATACCCAGGTGAAAGTCCTGGTAAAAGGCTAAAATAGCCAGGCAGTGGTGGAGCACGCCTCTAATCCCAGCACTTGGGAGGCAGAGGCAGGTGGATTTCTGAGTTCGAGGCCAGCCTGGTCTACAGAGTGAGTGCCAGGACAGCCCAGGCTATACAGAGAAACCCTGTCTCGAAAAACCAAAAAAGGCCAGGCAGTGGTGGCGCATGCCTTTAATCCCAAAAAAAGGCTAAAATAGTTTTCTGGTTCTAGACACATACTGTCACTTTGCTAGAGGATATTTTAGTAAGTTTAATGTCACTTGCCACGAGCCAGCACTGGTCCCCACACAGGTTTGTCGTTCTCATCTGCACTGTTCACAGCTTATCGTAGACATTTTCCCTTGCCTGATTTCCTTCTGGGAAACTGCCTGGGTCATTTGCTGATGGAGGATTCTCTGTTTTCACAGACCCAGAACCAAGGAACGCGACCCTTGCCCCCCTCAGTACTAACCTGGCTGAGTACAACCAGCCCTCTGAGGCCGATACCTTAAAGAACATGTAAGTGTGCAGCTTGCAGGGATGTGGACTGTGGTTTTCATTAATGTGCCGTTTTTGTTTGGTTGGTTTTTGTTTTGTTTCATGGGATAACATGCTGGCAGTTGAGTTAAAAGGAAAGAGACCCCTGGGTAGATTGCACATTGATGACTGAGCTGTTTTAAACCACGCCCCCCAGCTTAGGTGGAAGTCGGGTGGTAATTTTCATGATCTAGAAGTAGCTTTTTTGAGTGTCCATGCCCCTGAGGTTTCCTGAGACTCTAGAAGGCTTTGGACAATCAACTTACCCTGATTCCTCTGTTCAGAGTTCATTAGCTAACTCTGGATAGAATAAAGCTGACCAGACAGACACCATGGTGGCTTCTTCTCATCCCTGCCAATGCACGCACGCCTTCTCTATGTGCTTACTGTGAGCTCACTGGCCAACAGTCCAGGCAGCCTGGCATACCCTTTGTCCTCCGTCTCCTTTGGTTGTGGCCTTTGCTGTAGACTACTTTGCTGGAACTAGACCTTATTGTGGATTCCATGAGACAGGGTCAACTTGAAACCAGTGATATAAAGACTCTCTTAGATCAAAAGGTTTTGTGCAGAAACAGAAGCAAAAGAGAAGGGAGCCTTGATGATCAAAGTAGCCACTAAAGAGGTTTTTTTGTTTTTGCTTTTTTAATTTTCTCTCCCTTTTCCCTCAAGGTGTGTGTGTGTGTGTGTGTGTGTGTGTGTGTGTGTGTGTGTGTGTG